GATTGACTCAGCTGAACACCAAGAGCCTGACAGAAGAGGCATAACCATTCTAGGCATAAATACTATTTATCTCAATTTACTTTCCTACTATGCATATTTACAGTTTAATAAAATTATAATATATTCAGAAAAGCAAGAGTATAATAATCCACTATGAAAAGACAAAAACAATCCACAGAACCAGACTCAGAAATGATCCAGAAGTGGGACAGGGTCTTTAAAATAATTATGATTACTATGCTAAGAGATGAAGTGAAAAATGTAGACAACATGTAATAAAATACTAGGCATTTCAACAGAGAGATGGAAACTATGAGTCAATGTAAGTGTTAAAAATTAAAAACATTCTATTAGAAATAAAGTATTCCTTAGGGGTTACATCAGTAGACTTGACACTGTTGAGGAAGGAATCAGTGAATTGGAAAATAAGTTAATAGAAATTGTTCAAACTGAGTAAAGGGAGAAAAATAAATGAGGGGAAAAATATCTAGGAGCTATGAAATTATATAAAGCAGTTTAACATACATGTCAAAAAGAGAGAATGAACAGAAGAAATATTTGAAAAGGTAGTAGTTAAGACTTTTCAAAAAATAATGAAAGACACCTAACTACATATTCAAGAAACAGAGTGCTCCAACCAGGGTAAACACATAACAAAGCAAAATAGAAAAGCTAGACATTTTATACTTAAATTGTTGAGAACCAATGATAAAGAGGAAGTCTTAAATGTAACTGGGGGAAAAGACATATTAGAAGAATAAATATTAGAATCACAGCTGATTTTTTGTCAGAAACCACAATTCAGAACACTATTGAATAGCATCTTTATAATGCTGGAAAAAAAAAAACCAAAACTATTAACCCAGAAATGTATAGCCAGCAAAAATCTTTCAAATATGATGGTAAATAAAAATGTTAGTTGTTAGTTAGAAATAAAGAATCTAACTAACAAAAGCTAAAACAATTAATTATCAGCTTATCTTCACTACAAGAAATGTTAAAAGAAGTTTTTCAGGCAGAAGGAATAAATATGACACCAGATAGAAATTTGAATCTACACAAAGAAATGAAAAACCCTAGAAATGGAAAAAATAAATACAAATATAAAAGGAATTTATTTTACATTTTTTAGCTGTAACAAAAAAGTAATCATGTATTAGGGAAGTTATAAAATATGTAAAAGTTTACAATAATCATAACACAAAAATGGGAAGGAAGAATTGCAAGTACACTATCATAACTCTTAAAATACATGTGAAGTGGCCTGAAATTTTTATAGACTGTGATAAATGGTCTAAAATCCACTTAGATTGGTTAAAACCACAAGATTCAGCCATATGCTATCTACAAGAAATGCACTTTAAATATAATTGGTTATCTTTTGCTGTGTAACAAATTACTGCAAATGTGACAACTTACAACAACGTACAATTATTATCTCACAATTTCTGTAGATCAAGAGTTTATATTTTTGGGATATTTGGCCCCTCATTTCTCATGTTCAAATGTAATTCATGATGTTAGAGGCAGGACCTGGTGAGAGGTGTTTGGGTAACGGGAGTGTATCCTTCATAGATGGGTCGCTGCTGTCCTCACTGCAGTGAGTAAGATCTGATTATTTGGAAGTGTGTAGCACCTCCCCCACCCATTGCTCTTACTCTCTTCTGGTGACATGCAGACTCCCCTTTGTCTTCCACCATGATTAGAAGCTTCCTGAGTCCCTCAACAGAAGCAGATGCCAGCAATGTGCTTCCTGCCTATTCTGCAAACTGTCAGTCTTACGTATTTCTTTATAGCAATGCAAAAACAGCCTAGCACAGGAGTCCAGGCATGGCTTAGGTGGACCCTCTAGTCAGCAATTTATAAAGCTGAAATAGAAGTGTCACCCATGCTGCTATTTGGAGCTCAGGGTCCTTTTTCAACTTCATTTAGGTTATTGGCAGAATTCAGTTGTTTGTGGTTGAAAGACTGTGGTGTGGATAGCTCCTGGAGGCTGATCCTCTCCGTAGGCAGTTTAAAGCATAAATGTTTGCTTTCTTAAAAGCTGGAAGTATCTCTTGCTTTTAAGGCTTCTTTTAATTAGGTGAGACCTATCCAGAACAATCTCCCCTTTAACTAATGCAAAACTAGCTGATTAGGAACCTTAATTAAATTTGAAAAAATCCCTTTACTTACCATGTAAACCAATCACAGGAATGGCATTCATTCTACTCACAGTTCTTCCCACACAAAAGGGGAAGAGATTATCCAGGACATGTACACTAGTTGATGGGAATCTTGGAGCCCACCTTAGAATTCTGCCTGTCACAGTCATAGAGATGGGTTGCAAGTAAAAGAATGGGGAAATAAAAATCATGAAAACACTCATCAAAAGGAAGCTGGAGTAGCTACATTAATATAATACAGATCTGTAGTCTACAGAGCAAGGAATATTGTCAAGGATAAAGATGGCTATTACATAATGATAAATGTCTTAAATTATCAGGAAGACATAACAATCCTTTAGAATGTTTGCACCTAAAAACAAAGCTCCAAAATACGTGAAGCAAAACTAAAGAAACCAAAAAGATAAATAGAAATATCCAAAATTATACTTGGGTACTTTAAACCTTCTTTCTCAGTAATCATTAAAACATGTAGACAGAGGAGTCTGGGGGTGGATAGAGACCTGCTTTCAGCAATGATTCATTATATTTTGTAGTATGTCATATTTGGTAGAGAACTCTCTCTGTCCAGGCTGAAAAGGGATTGAATTTGGTGTCAAACAGGATAGGGAAAATGGCCATTTCCACACTTCAATTGAGAGGTGTCCCAGGTTTCCTGTTTTGGTTTTGATTTTATTTTTTTCAAATCTGAACAGAGGACTAGAGAGGGTGAGGAAAAGGCACAAGGAGTCTAGTTTTGGAAATACTTTTATATCTGGATATATACTAATTTCTACAATCCTAGGTTCTGAAAGTAACTACCTAAGATTATTCTTCTAGCACTAAATGTAACTACGAAAGGGGACGTGAGGGAAGAGTTAGAGCGTTTACGTAGTATGTATTACCCATTTACTTAATAAGTATTTTTGAGCGCTTTCTAGGGCTAAATTCTGGCAAAACCCTGACCTAAAGACAGTGTCTGACTTCTGAGAAGCCCAAGATCTCATTCAGAAGTCTGATAGGTACCAGTTAACACATTTCATCATTGACTCCCTGGGGTCTCTTTGAGTCATAAGAGGACCCCGGGAATGGCTAGCAAAGAAAAGATAAAATTTAGAGACCAGGAGAACTCAAAGCAGAAAATCAGCCCTTACTGAGGTACCAGAGCACCCAGCCAAGTGGATAAATATGTTTGTGAATAGCTCAAACCAAAGGAAAGAAGAGAAGGAGTTTGAAGATGTTGCTAGAATGAAGTGAAAGTAGCAAAGTTTGCGACATTGATAAGAATGGTTAGCATCAGTGTCCCTCACTGTTTATAAGATTTTGATGTGAACTCTGTCCATCAAGTTTTTGAGAGATTGCAGCCAGGTGCTGGGGGAGTACCTGGTCCCTAACTAATAAGGGTGAAATCCTGATCAGACTACAGCCTGCTTCCTGCCCTGCTCTGCTCAGTTTACACAAGTTATGAGTGCCGACTAGGTTGAGAGTCCTTGAAGAATTTAAAAAGTAAGGGTCAATAAAATATCAAAAATAAGGAAAAAAACGTCAATTCTCTTTCCTGGGGAGGGGGGGACGGGGGAGGTGGAAAAGAATTACCCCTCCCTTCTTAGGGCATTTTCTTTAGAAAGCTTGTAAGTGTGAATTTTTTTCTCCGCCCTTTGTAATGCAAATCTTTTTTAAAAGCTGTTTGACAGCCTAAGGCTATCTTTACAACTTTAGAGCACCTGGGAGCCATCCCTTTGAAATGTAAACATCAAGGAAGATCGTGTCCCCACCTCCCAGTCTCCGTGGGAAAGAAGGAGCCTAACTTAGAAGCCTAACTTAGGTAGGAGCCTCTCTTTTGCCAGCACCTTTCTGAGTTGCAAATCTTCCCCTTTCCATGGAAGATATGAGAAGTTTACTTTTCCTCTGGAAAAAGACAGTTAGCTAACACATACGGTTACTGAATGAACTTAGGATGAACTATTTGTGACAAAGGGTGCTGTTAAGTCCTCTTACTTGAGGATTAGTTACGGTTTAGCTTGAGAACACGTGTGTAAGGGGTGGCACCTGCCTGACTATATGACCAGGTGGCATCCCTCTCCGTCTTTGCAATCTCTTCCTGGATTGTCTAGTGGAATCTAGATCACATTCGGGTTCAAGGCACATTGAACAATAAAATTGCTTTATTTCTCTTCTGCCTTTGTGGAGAGGTTTTCTGGGCTGGTAGGAGACTGTTTAAAATTGTTTTACCCATCACATCTTAGACAATTGTTACAATATGACTCTAAGCCCCACCTCAAATGTCAACAGATGTGGGGATTCTCTGGGCGGTGACAGCCCTCCACCTAAGTCCACATTATGTTCTCCATCTCATAATTACTTTATGTCCACTGATCTAGCCTTAAATGGCAATCAGCTAAAAAAAAATAGAGGTGCTATCACCCTGCTTTCAACCCTCACCAGATAAACTGACATGTAGGCACCACAATGTCCTCACACGGCGGGCTCCACCACGTGGCAGACACCTTACCAGGGTCAGTCATGAGCCCAGAGTCAAATCCTGCGAGGGCTCATTCTGGCCCTCTGTGGACCAGAGTGCCTTTCTGACCCCGGTTAGTGGAAACTTTCCAGAAGCAGAGCCTGTGAGAAGGGGCCCAAGAGTGCTGGGAGGAGCAGTGCCCTGGTGATGGGTGCTCAGGGCGGCAGGGGCCTTATCTGAAGTCACTAGGGGCCTTATCTGAACCTGGAAGTTGGGGAGTCTGTAATTCCCTTCATATCTCCTTCTTCCAAATACTGCTTGCGTAAAAGTCAAAAAAAGGAAATAGGTGGGGGTACACTGTCCCAAGGCAGGCTCCTGACAGGAAGTGACCCGTTAAGGAGGCAGCATATCACTGCATTTGGCTGGTTTTCAGGGTCTTGTTCCCAATCAGTTTCCAGCCAATGCTGGGCTGTCCTAGTCCCCAAGGGTATGGGGAGCACACTCCAGAATCTCTGCTTTTCTTCTTTTTTTGCAGCTGAGTCACGAAGTTTTCAGCCCCAGCACGTGGCTCCTCCTTAACTGCGTCTGCTCGGCCTCCCTCAGCCCTGTGAACAGCCTCCCCACACAGAGACCACAGAGCAGGGCTCTCTCTGCTGCCGCTTCCCCTTCCTGAGAGAGGGCCAGCCGGCCAGAGCCTCAGTGACCGCCGCCCTGGAGGACAGGGGCACAACAGCCATTTCTGGTAAGCAGAACCGGGTTTATACTCACAGGGACTGTGGGAATAGGAAGAATCACAGTTTGGTCACAGCTGTTCACTTCTGATGTGACCTTGCACAGGTTCCCTCGCTTCTGGGTTCCCTGGTCAGTAAAACGGGGCAACAGCAGTGAGTGCTGCAGGATCCGCAGGTGCGCAGCTGGTGGAACACAGCCTGAAGAATCAGCGCCTGCACTCGCAGCCCAGGCCCAGGGCAGCAGGCTTTGCTGGCCCATTGCCCATCACTTAGCTGAGTCGATCTCCATGGGACTCTCGGGGAGTAAGACTGAAATGATCCTCTCATCCGTGGGACAGATGGGAAAACTGAAGCTGCCAGAGGGTGATAGGCTTTCCCCAGCTCCCCTAGCAAGCCGGGGCATTCTTCCCAATTTTACCCTCCTAATTTCTCCTGTCTCAGCCCAGCCAGACATGCGCCATGTCCCAGACAAGCCTGGGAGCTGACGATGGATTCTTTAGGGCTCCCCAGGGAAAAGGTGGGATATTTTCCCATCCCAGGAGCCTCCTGTTCCAAACAAGACCCCTGAGTGGACCTCGTCCTGTGACTTTCAACTTCAGAAATCTACCCCATGCTCCCCCAGATGCCCCACAGTTTTCCTGTGACCCCCTGCAGGATGCACCCTATAGGGAAACAGACTCATGTTCGGGGCACCTGTGAAATATCCCTTTGTCAGCCACATCTTATGTGAGAGAGGTGCCATGAAATCACAGCGACCAGACCGCAAAACACATGATTCCAATACCTGGAAATATATGGGCTGGGACAGACAGGGTGAAGGAAATACTATGAACAAGGAAGAAAAGAAGTGGTTTGATCTCTTCTAAAATAGCATGGAAAAGGCTACTTTCTCATGTTTTGCTAAAATAAGGTCTTCTCATGGTAAAATCAGGTTCATGCCGTTTCCAACTCAGAATGTGCGTTTTGTTCATTTGCTTCACCCTCCTCCCTGAGCCAGACCCTCCCAGCAGAGGGTGCTATTGTCTTGCTTGCACACTGCCTTCCAATCTCTCATGACCTTTGGACTAATTTGCGGGAAGATTAGTAACATTTTTCCTTTGGAGAAGAAACCTGACTTCATTCTCTGTTCCCCCAATTTTGTCTGCCCTGTAGACCAAGACGTATGACATTCCTCCAAGCCTGTGACGTGTCCACCGGTCTTTTTCTAGGCTTTCTTCAGTTCTCTTATCATCTTCTTCATGATTCATCTTAGCATTGTCCTCAGTATCCTTTCTGACTCACCTGTGGACACTTGGTTATTTGTTAATATCTGCCAAGAAATATATTCTTCAATGCAGCCTGACCCACTGAGGTTGGATTGGGAGAAATATTGCTGTTGTTGGTTGGCTACCATAACAGAGTTTGATTGGCTTTTGTGACAGGCAGTTGTCTGTTTTAAAAGGAAAGACCTCAATTCAGAGAAACTCCTGCCACCTGCAATTTTATTTTTGAATAACATTTTTTTAAGAATGCACTCGAGATTTTGCAATAAAATTCCTCGCGTTGGTTTTAGGGTAGGCTTCTAGCTGTCCGATTGATTTGTCTTGACCAGGGAGTGGCAGCATTGTACACATGTCCCAAAAGGACTGTTGACTTCTTTGGAATAGCCTCTTTTTCCACCTGTGGAATCAAAGACAATCCACAGACAAAAGGAGCCATTTCCTGATGTTGGCTCCATTGTAAACAAGTGACCTTTGGCAGGTCATTTAATGCTCAGTTTCCTTGCATTTTAACAGAAATTGTAAGACCATCCTTGATCAGATCACAGGGAATTTGGGAGAGCAATTAAAATAAGGAGGATGAGATAACTTTGAAAATTACAAATGTCTGCACAGAGGTTTATTACAGTGATGATGTTCATAATTAGCATCGTTACCGCTGTCATCTTGACCTTTACCATAGCATGATGTTGACTCGAAACCTCAGAAAACGTCATCTAAAGTAGAGAGGATGTCAGGGAACTGGTGCTATTTTGACAAAAGCCAAAAGCGTCATTTATCAGAGACAAGAACAATGTGTGGGAGAGAGGAGAACACTCTTCTCTGGGCTTAAGAAAAAGAAAGAAAGAGGGAGAGAGGGGGAAGAGGAAAGGAGGAAGAAGGAAAAGAAGGGAAGGGAGGGGGCAGGAAGCTGTCTTAATACATTCTGATTATATAAAAATGGATTGCTTGACCTAAAGAAGGCCAAGAAAATCTACTAAATGCATAGAAAAATGTGGAAAAGATAGAAATCGCAGAAGTTATTATGTATGGAAGTTTATAAATAACCGAAATAGCAAACAAACTGTGAAAACTGTTTTTAATTCAATGATAATCAGCAAAATGTAAGTTTAAGCCAATTAAGACATCCCTATTTATGCCCATGCAGATGACAAGGAATTAAAAGTGTATTACTACCAAGTGACTGTGAAGATCTGGGGACCTCTTATAAATGAGTGGTGCAAATAGGAGTTAGCACGACTCCCTGGGAGTCATATTTGGCAATATCCAGTCAGGTGGCAAATGTACATCCCCGATACTGTTGCACAAGGCTGGAAATTGTTACCCGGAGCAGGAAATGAGTTGTTCTTGAATTCTGCCTGAAGTCGATTCTTTCTATTCAATCACCTCACTACCTCCTCTCCACCAACCGTCAGGGTGGGAAGGCAGTCGTGCCAGTCCCCCAGCACTACTTCCTCTCACGTCAGTTCTTCGTGTCCCTGATTCCCATTTCCACCCTCCCATTGGAAAGTACCTCATAATTTCCTCTCCACCACTGGAATGACCATCTGACACAAAGAATTTCCGGGACTGGAAGTTTCCAGTACTTCAAATAAACCAATGTTATTTACAGCAAGGCAATTTTTTTTCTCTATTCTGGCAAGTTTGCCTATGCCTATTTTAATTTCAATTTTTTTTTTAATGCCCCACTCTTTGTTCCATAGAAGAATGCTTTCTTCATTTCATGCCTTTCTGGTTGGGGGAGATGATCAACTGATTTGCTTCAAAACATTTCCTGATTTTGTGTAAGTTGATGGGAGGGAGGCAGTAGTGCATTGTTTTAGCAGAACCTAACATCAGCTGGTTTGCTTAAAGTTATTTACAGATGTTTCAAATAAAGTATGAGTTAGAAAATTAGTGATGGGAATGGCTCATCTGCAGGTTAATTATTCTTAGATGTCTGAATTGGGTGCTCTCAGGCTCTACCAGCTCCCATATAGACATTTGCTTTTTATCCTTTTCCTGTGTTCATTCCAGGAGAGAATGGAAGGATTCCAGAAGGGCAAATATGGAACTATGACTGAAGGTAAGAAAGTCTCGAAGTTCCTAAGAGCTCCAGAGACTTGGGAGAATCACAGTTCTCTCCCCACCTAAAACACAGTGGCAGAAACCCATTCATTTTAAATGAAAAAGATAAAGGCAACTATCATTTTTTACCTCCCCAGCCCTCTTGTGCCTGACCGCACCATCACACACACACACACACACACACACACACACCCCATAGATGCTCTCCCTGCACCAGGTATGTGGGAAATGTGGAAAGGAAACCCCAGAGGTTGAAAGGTCTGGAAGCAAATGGTGAATATGTTTTATCTTTCTTTGTATTCTGACAGCTGAAAAAAGAAAAAGTTCCCCATAGGGATTTAGACATTGTGCTTGCTACAGGACACTACAGAATAACTTAAGGAAAGGAAGAACTGACACAAGCAGGAGGAATAAAATAACAGATTTTTTTTTTTTTTTTTTGGAGATGGAGTCTTGCCCTGTCGCCAGGCTGGAGTGCAGTGGCGAGATCTTGGCTCACTGCAACCTCCGCCTCCCGGGTTCAGGTGATTCCACTCCGTCAATCTTCTGAGTAGTTGGAACTACAGGCATGCGCCATCATGCTTGGCTAATTTTTTTATTATTATTATTTTTTAGTAGAGACGGGATTTCATCATTTTGGCCAGGCTGGTCTCGAACTCCTGACCTTATGATCTGCCTGCCTCGGCCTCCCAAAGTGCTGGGATTACAGGAGTAAGCCACCATGCCTGGCCTAAAATAATAGATTTTTAGGAGCCTACAGTGCACTTCAAATTCATTTGGGCTCTGGAAATCCACAGGATCCCCCCTCTTCATGCCTTGAAGATTTTAGCTTCTGCCAGTGTCACCCTCTCCAGCACGACTTCTGCCATAATTTCATGTGCTTGGATCAGCCACATAAATGAGCTTTTCAACACACATGCTTCTGTTGACCTTATCTTCCACCTTTTTGAGCCGTCCATCCTAGGGCCATCTCCTAGACATTGCCCTAACATTAACTGCGACCTATATCATCTCAATTTCAAGCATCTCACTCCCTATCCAGAGAGCACAGGCCCAGGGACAGACAGCTGACCCTTGCAGTGGACCACTATAGCTCTGCCAGTGGAGACCTCCTTGACCCTCAAGGCTTGTATGAATGTGTGAAGTGTGTCTATACAAGTGTGCCTGGAAATGTGGGGGTGAAAGAGAAGTAATTGTATTTTCACTTGCAGCTACTCATCCCCTGCCTCCTTCTAATCTCACAACATTTATTTAGCAATTAATCCTCCATGGAGCTGGTTTAAACACCATGCAGGGGAAAACACAGGGACCATTTTCTTTCGGGAAAGCTCTATTTGCCACGATCCAGATGGAGTGCTTAACGGATCTTCTTCATGCAAAAATTCTGACTCCTGGCTGTGGATCCAAACATGGGCTTCCAATGGGGGCTTTCTACATGCAATATTCACCTGCAGTTGTATGCATACTTTTATATGCATATAAATATGTCTGTCATTCTGGGGATGAGGTTCATAGCTTTCGTGAGATAACCGTGAACCATGACCTAACAGTCTTAAAGATCATTAACTTAGTAAGACACAAAACTTCTTTTTCTACAGGTAGATCAGAAAATGACAGGTTTGCAACACCACCAGCATTGAGGATTATCCTAGTGGGCAAATCAGGCTGCGGGAAAAGTGCCACAGGGAACAGCATCCTTGGCCAGCCTGTGTTTAAGTCCAAGCCAGGGGCCCAGTCGGTGACCAGGACGTGCCAGGTGGAGACAGGCACATGGAACGGGAGGCAAGTCCTGGTGGTCGACACGCCCTCCATCTTTGAGTCAAAGACTGATGCCCAAGAGCTGTATAAGGACATCGGAGACTGCTACCTGCTCTCTGCCCCAGGGCCCCACGTGCTGCTTTTGGTGATCCAGCTGGGGCGTTTCACCGCCCAGGACATGGTGGCTGTCAGGAGGGTGAAGGAGGTCTTTGGGGTAAGGGTCATGAGACACGTGGTCATTCTCTTCACCCACAAAGAGGACTTAGTGGACCAGGCCCTGAATGACTATGTAGCAAACATAGACAACTGCAACCTGAGGGCCCTGGTGCAGGAGTGCGAGAAGAGGTACTGTGCCTTCAACAACCGAGCCACTGAAGAGGAGCAGAGGCAACAGCGGGCAGAGCTCCTGGCTGTGGTTGAAAGGCTGGAGAGGGAGCGAGAGGGCTCCTTCCACAGCAACGACCTCTTCCTAGATGCCCAGCTGCTCCAGAGAGGTGGGACCGTGCCCTGCCAAGAAGACTACTGGCAGTACCTGATCAAGGTGGAATGGCAGGTGGAGAAGCAGAGGCAAGAGCTGTGGGAGAACGAGAGCAACTGGGCACGCAAGGCGCTCCTCAGAGTCAAACACCAGATGCTCTTGCGTTATGAGATTTGTGCTTTTCTGTTTTGGTGCGGCGTAATTTTAATTCTTTTATTTCTGTTCATCTTTCATTATGTTTAAGTCTCTCAACCCTGGGGCCTTTCTGAAGCATCACCAAATGGAGTCATAGCTCTAAGAATCACCGATTCAGATTCGGATCCTTGTGGTCGGTGGCGCAAGCTGCTTGCTGTCTGTACAGCTCCCATTTCCCCTTCTTCCTTATAGACTTGGAGCTGTGTGCCTCTGCTTCAGGGCCGCCTGGCTGCTCTAAGCACAATCTCACTCTCTCTGCCAATGACTGCCTCAGGAATGGGCCTGAGATCCGATGCAGACCCATGAGAAGTGAGTAAAAGTCTGCAGAGGTGGGGATGGGTGGTCTCTCTTTAGATAGAGCCTGTCTTCATCCCCGGTATTGTGGGGTCTGGATGTGACGGTGGGACTGTCAGCAGCTTTGTGCTGCCAACCTGAGGTTGAAGGCAGTGCCTCAGAGCAGCCAGAGAGTTGGGGCCACCTGAACCCTGAGCCACCAGCCCTGCAGCCTGCCCTATCTCTGCATTTCCTATTGTGTTACCCAATAAATTTTCTAATTGTTTAAGCTATTTGAGTCCCAGGTCTCTTTTAACCTGCATTTGAAAACATTCAAACTAATGAAAATTTCTCCTCATTCCTTTTTATCCTTTTAATCTGTTGGAACTTCCCAATCCTCATGCTTCCTTTCAGCAAGTGACATCCAGAATAAAGGAACAGGGTTGGCTTTTCTTGTTCCTAAAATTAGGAAGAACCCCCTGCTCTAACTGAAGTACCTGCCACATAGTGGACATTCATTGAACTCTGAGTAAAGCAAAACACTTTCAGTTGGATTGCATTGATGAATGGGAATTGGAGAAGGCCAAGGAAATGGGGTGGCCTCTAGGCAGGGCTTTCTCTGTGCTTTCTTCTCAGTGTGACCAGAGGCACAAGAGAAACACAGTTCACATTTGAATGCTCTGGAAGGAATCACTTTGGCAAACATTCTGAGAAAGGTTAACCAAACCCTTTCTCCTTCTCCACTGTAAAATGTCCTCGGATCAACTCTCCAGCTCTATTTCTTTGGAAGTCAATGTCCACAGGGTTGGGGTGGGGAGGGGGGCTGTTGGCTGGATACCAGGCACTCCTGCTCACCGTGAAAGTGACTCCTTGTTGGTACAGGGAGTCTGGACTGGGTGACCCGGAAATGGGCCATCCCCACACTGGAAGGAGGCTACTCTGGCAGTGCTGCTCCCTAATGCTTTCTTAAGGTCTTGGCTGTGTCAACCCAGAGTGCCTCCCTGGAGGGAGGAAGAGCCCAGACATCGTCTACTGGACCAGTGTTCCGGAGGCTTCAAGGTCACCACACTCATATGCAGTCTTTGCCTCCCTCTGCTCTCCCAGTTCTCCTCTGCAGGGCCACTGCAGCGAAGGGAGCCACGTTTCAGAGTCACCCAGGACAGAGGTGAGCTCCCTCCTGATGTTGCCATCAGTGACCACACTGCGGGGCACCTCCTCAGCTCTCCCCAATCTGTCCCATCCGTCCCCACTGCTACTGCTGGAGTGCAGGTGTGATTCCCTCCGAATGTTATCCCTGTCTCCAGGTTTATACTCGTACAACCCAGCTGCCACTTGCTGCCACCTTCTCTTCCCAAGACACACCAACATGCTCAGAAGCCTCCATGGAGGATTTGAGGAGCCCCCTCGAATCCTGAGAATGAGACCCAGACCCCCTACCCCTGCCCAGCCCCAGCCCGTTGTGCACTCCTCCTGTGTGCTAACTCTCATTTCCTTCCTTAATCACAGGCCCCTCAGCCTCCAGAGACTTTCCCCAAGAGGCAAGGATGTTCCCAGTTAGCTTAGTGTCATCCCATCTAGGAAGCCTCTGCAGAGCCTGCCGTGGTCTCCTCCTTGCTGACATTGCTTCCAAAATAAACCTTCTCCTACAGCCCCACTCTTATATGCTTTCATCCCTCCACCCCACACTCCCTCCTGGCGCCCAGCATTGACCCTCACCCTCAGTACTCACACCATAAACGTCTGTGAAGCTGGACTGAATTAAATCAAGCCCAGTTGGAACAGTTTGGGAACACTGCGTTGAGGAAGTGGTTCCTGGTCTGAGAACTCAGGACTCCTCGGGATTCCCAGGGTCTGGGGAGCTGGCACACAACACACTCCCTGCGCATGTTTGGGATGGGTTCTGTGCTGGATGATGCAGGCGTCAGGGTCATGGAGCCAGACGTGGAGCTTCACTGCCAGCAATGGTGCTGGAGAATGCTGCTAAGGGGCATCGTAGCCTAGCACTTCAGACTCACCCCAGAGTAGCCACCTGCCCGTCCAGCCACAGGCTGTCTGGGACGGGTGCAGGTCTCCCTTACCTAACACAAAGAAGGCGTGGCGGAGGGACCCAGGGACCTCCTCCTCATCTGATTACCTGTTTCCACTGAATTCCCCTCCTGTGCAGACTTGAGCCTCATGTCTGCCTTCTTCTCTTTGCTGCCACTGGATGGGGAACACCACCCTTTCCTCAAATGCCCATGGACATCACACGTCGCTGTCCTGGATGGTACTGAGTTTGGGGGTAGGGATGTTGTGTTGCAGTGCAGTCCCACCAAGAATGGGTAATCAGCGAAACAGATGACGGCCCTGGCCCAAGTCTGGCCTGCCTCCTGTTTTGTACAGCTGTGAGTTAAGAAGGAGGTTAACATTTCTAAATGGTTGAAGAAATCAGAAGAAAAATAACATTTCATCTTCACACATGAAAACTGCCTGAAATTAAGAACTCAGTGCTCAGGAAGTTCTAGGGGATGCAGCCTTGCACATCGCTTACAGTCTCATCCCTGGTGGCCTTTGTCTATGCAGCAAAGTTGAGATAAGGAGCTGGGATATACATTTTTCTGCCTTGTAACTTAAACTAACACCCCCTTCACAGCTTCTAACAATGCAACTGCTTGACTAAAAGAGGTTAACATACCCCCGGTGAAGTTCTGCATCAATGGCATACAATAAACTAAGATGTCAAGTAACATTACAAGTCAGACACAAAAGATTCATAGTTAAACTTATGGCCTTTATAGTCTCAGCCATAGTCAGCCTGGCAACTGCCAGCATTGCAGTGACATCTCTTACTGAGTCAGTACAAACAGAACAGCAGACATCAAGCAACTTAAAACTACAATTTTAGAATTTCTTCACACTATAGATCTACACACCCAACAACAGCCAAATAGAAAAGTGTGCGAGAGCATCTCTCCTGGTGAAAACCCCATTCCTGGGAGTCACTCTTTGACTAGAAAAGAATGTTGCCAATTGTACTCAGAATTGTCTTATGTTATTTGTTAATTCTAGAATGCAAAGCTGAAATAAGACCAATGACCCCCTCACCAGACAGACACAATGACTGCCTCACCTGACAGACTCATGACTGTAACTGCATGCATCAGTAACCCAGCACACAAGGCCGAAAGGTTTTTATTAACTTAAGGAGTAATCTGAAAGCAGCCAGTTTTTACTTTCGAGTATTAAGTCATAGGGTAAAAATTAGGATAATAAAAGCTTCCCCAGTTAAGTCTGTTTACCCCACATCCCTTTGTCTCTACTGTTTTCACATGTAAACTGTGCTGGATGGTCCTCTCAGGGGGAGGTCGAAGAGGAATTACCTGTTAATGGTGTTTATTCTGGGCCTCAGAACCAAGACCTTTTATCATTCATAAAACCACTCTTTTAACCAAGTTAATTACCCACAAGCATGTTGACTTAGAACCTCTGTTATTAAATCTATACTGAATTAATTCGAGGAGGAAGAGGGAGTAGTGGTGGGTTAGCTGCAATTGCCCTCTGAAAGCAGCTGACAACCATCCCTAGCCCAACTCTTATGCTGTATTCTGTGTGTGAGAGTGTATTTTATTCATCTGTCACTGAGTCAGGGTCTGCAGGACAGACCTCTGCAGGTGGTAATCGACGTCTCAGGTGGTGACCCCGACATGCCACTCATCACATGGAAAGATGAGATTTTTTTTTTTTTTTTTTTTTTTTGAGAAAGAGTCTCACTCTGTCAACTGTGAGCTTCTAGAGCTCTAGAGCTTCTAGAGCTCAGTCAGACTTTTCAGGCATTCTGTTACTCTCCTACTAAAAGTTTCCTTACATCAGGCATAAACCTACGTTTATGATAACAACCGAATATCACAATGCTATTTAATCTGTCGCCCAGGCTGGAGTGCAGTGGCACAATCTCGGCTCACTACAAACTTCGCCTCCTGGTCTCAAGTGATCCTCCCGCCTCATCTCCTGAGTAGCTGGGATTACAGGCACATGCCACCATGCCCAGCTAATTTTTGTATTTTTAGTAGTGACAGAGTTTCACCATGTTGGCCAGGCTGATCTCAAACTCCTGACCTCAGGTGATCCACCCACCTCGGCCTCCCAAAGTGCTGGGATTACAGGTGTGAGCTACTACACCTGGCCAAAAAGATGACAATTATGTTCAGGTGTGCTCTTTCTCTGAGTTTCACTGGAAATATTTAGCTTTGACTATTGGTCAGTTTTCTCCAGAGAAACAAAAACAACAGGATATATCTATTAAGAGATTTATTTCCAGGAATTGGGCTCATGTAATTTCAGGGGCTGGCATGTCCAAAATCTGTAGGACAGGTGGGCAGGCTGGCTGCTGAGCCAGGAGTGGATGCTGCAGTCTTGAGGCAGAATTCCTTTTCAAGTCAGTTTTTGCCTTAAGACCTTAAGACCTGATGATTTCCCAGATCAAGAAAGTCAGCAGTCATTTCCAACTGAACATCTAGCTGTCATGGGTTCTTGTCTGCCTTTAGGATCTCAGGGCTGGTACCCAAACTAAAGTGTGTCTGGCAAAGCATTCCCCTTAAATAAACTCACAAAAGAAATTATCCCCCAAGTTTCCATGGTGATGATGGTGCAAAGGGTGACAAACCATCCTGGTTAGCCCAGGTCTCAGAGGATTCCCTGATCAAAGGACTTTCAGTGCTGAACTGGGAAAGTCCCAGGCTTACCCCAGGGGTAGGAGATTGTCATGGGTCCAGGTTAGGAGTGGGGAGTAGGGCATGTACATCCAGTAATTTGAGAAAAGAACTGATTTGTTGGGCTCAGATCAATGCCTTATGCTACAGAGGAGGATTGCTGCTTCCATATTCCTACCTCAAACAGTCTCGGACCAGTTGCTACCCCAGGGGCATCTGTCATCAAGCCCCCTCACCTCTTTGCATTGTTCCCACCATACCTCTCCCTCCTACCTCCTACTCCCCTCCGCCTCCTGTATGGTCCTATTCAGCATTCCTTAGGTGATGCCCTGGCTTGTGTGGTTTGAGGAAGCTGCATCGTTTGGAGTTGCGGGTCTTGTAGAGTCTTCCTAGGCTGGCTCAAGTTTTTTCTTCTGTCTATGCTTAGAGAGGACAGAGTCTCCAGGCTGGTGTGTGTGTACTGGAAATTCTAGAAGTTGTGCCTGTGCTAAGAGACTTTTTATAATCTTCGTAAAAGAGCAGGTTAGTACTTGAAAACAAAAAACTTGTTGTGCTTTATTTTAATGTCTAGTTTACAGAAAAACGAGATGATGCTTCTTTAACTTTTGACTAGTATGTTTACACACAGAATTTCTTTTACAACTGATGTTTTAAAACTTGCTTAGACTTTCAAAACAAAGATTATACAACCTACTTGCATAAATTCCTTTCTATAACATTTTTCATGGGCAAACTTAGACATGTCTTAACTTTCTTTGTTTTATAGCCTTCTTTACTAATGGTACATTCTAATATCTGTAACTTTTTTAAACATTTCTTTTTCTACTTCTTACTATATCTCCTTTGTCTTGCTTTCTGTGCTTCTTTTTCTCTCTTCGCCTCCTTGTCTCCTTTCCTCTCTGTCTCTCTCTCTGACTCTCTTTTTTCTTTTTATACTATCTCTTTCCTTAGTCTCACTTTCTGTATCTGTCTGTCTTGGTCAGGCGTGATGTTATCACCTGTAAGTCTGCTTGTTCATTGCCATGAGCCAATGGGCCAGGCAGTGAGCTGTGGGCTTGAGATTAGGCTTAATTAAAGCTGTTTCAAGATTTTGTAGTAGATAAACTGAGTAAGCCAAGCCACTTACTATATTTATGGGCTGAGCAGGAAAAGATTTTAAGGCTAGTATCATGGCTTTAATCTCAGTTATCTGACTGGTAGTAAACTTAGATCGGGTGACTGAATTATGTGGTCTTTACTAGACTACAGCTTTTCCTGTTTACCTGATTTATCGGGAAACAGTGATAAAGCATTAGGTATGGAGAAGTGCAATATTGCTTCAAATTTCTGTTATAGGAATCTTGATATTAGGATCATAACTTAGCAATTGACTGCATTAATCATTAAGATGGCAAGCTGAAATTGGTAACATGAAATTTAAAAGGAAATATGAAAATATTTCTAGAAGCAGAAACTCAAAAAATATACTTTAACTATATGCTTAAAACCACAGGTAGGATAGCTTAAATCTTGCAGTTGAGTCTTCAGGCTAAGTTTATGGACCTTAAACTGGCAAACTGTTCTGAAAACAGTGACTCACTACCAGGACAAAGACTATCTTTAATCAGTGAGGCAAGACAGCTATTTATGCATATGTTTCTACTACACTTACACACAAATTTCACTTTCTGAGAATGGGCACAATATTTTTACTTCCAAATTCAACAAATACTATTTGAAGTTCTCTTTTAAAGGGTAATGTGTGGTTTTACATGCTTAGCTTTTCATCGCTCTTTAATTCATGGGCCTTCTGTAATTTATCTCCTTTTAGAGGTTACTGTTTCACTTAAGTTGGATGTTTAAAGAGCCACATTAAGGATAAGAGAAAATAACAATGGCCACTATCAGAATTTGAATTTTACTTAAATCTCAGAGGAGAATTATAATCTAGGACGTTGCCTGTAAACAAGGAACACATGAAATTTCACTGTGGGACGTCCGCGGAGCCAAGGCACAGGGACGTGGGTCCCGGTGGGCAGCCATGCTGGCCCCGCCCAGGTGCTGCTTCCATTTCCATTTGGGCTGCTCGCTCCCCGCCTCCCCCACGCGGAGGTTGCGGGCTTGGACAGAGCTGCCCTGCCAGAGCCTTCACCACTCCCCCCCCCCACTTTTTTTTTCCTTTTGCTTAGCGGCACGGCTTTGGTTTCTAATGCTTTGACTTATCTTCTTATAAACATAAACCTGATTGCCTCGCCAATCATCAGACACCGGGCGGGCTGAGAGTTCCTTCTGTCATGCTGCTTGCTTAAGACAGGGACCGAGGCAAGTTCCAGTGGCTCGAGGTATCGGCGGGAGCGGCCGGGTGGCGGCAGGGAACCGAAGCTGCCGATTAAGCCTGATCGAGATGACAATCTCCCAAAAGCACCGAGACCTCGTGGCAGAGCCCATGGGGGAAAAGCCAGCGGGGAGCCTGGCCGGGACTGGTGAAGTCCTGGGCGAGAAGCTGGAGGAAAGGGGCTTTGACAAGGCCTGTGCTGTCCCTGGCCAGCTTTTGGTGCTAAAGAAAGATGAAGACCTCTTCCGGGAATGGCTCAAGGACACTTGTGGCGCCAGCGCCAAGCAGTCCCGGGACGGCCTTGGAGGCCTTCGAGAGCGGCGCGACGCCTTCTGGCGATGCTCTCCGGGAAGCTGTCAATCCCCAGCCCTCATCCGGAGTTTGCAGCCCAGTAGGGACGCCTCCCCTGTCCGCTACAAAGGAAAAGATTGCTATTGTCGTACTCACCTCCGACTCCCCTAACCATTTCAACTTTTTTGGATTCTCGCTCCCGCATGCCTCCCTCTTCCTGTTTCCCTTGCCAGTTCCCTGGTGACACTTACTGGCTTTCCTGAATGGTATTCCTGGCCCTCTCCCTCACCCCCACCCTCACTTTCAGTCCGTTTGATACCATTTGGCTCCTTTTTTGGCAGAACAGTCACTGTCGTTGTAAAGCTTTTTAGATCAATAAAGTCAGTGGCTTTCACGGAAAAAAAAAAAAAAAAAAGACGAGGACCTATAGCTGTAGCGTTTCCCTTGTCCTTTTTCCTATTCACTGGATACCTTTGTGCGTGATTTCTCCCCACTCCCTCCCAGAGCTTTATGTCCATCGTGCTCTCTGCTGGGAACCATAGGCTTTGGGAAATAATAGTGTGCATTCATGGAGCTTGATACAGTTTCTGTTGCACTGATAACTGCTGCCCTATAATGAATCCGCAGGCTGAAACAATCCCTCCCAAACTTGGCAATCCCTAGTGGGTACAAATGACTTACTGACAACTTGAATTGAACGCGAGGTCTCTGCACATTCTGTTTTTTTGGGGGGGTCCACCGCTTTCCTTCTTCCCAGCGATGATCACGTCAGTTCACTCCAAGTTCAGGCGCCTGCCGTGACGATGACTTGGTCAGGTCTCCTCACACCAGGACACTGGCTGTGGCAAGGGTCACATCGGGGTCACCACCTGAGACATTGGTCACCACCCGAAGAGGTCTGTCCTGCAGACCCTGACTCAGCGACGGATGAATGAAATACGCTCTCACACACAGAATACAGTGTCAGAGTCTGGCTAGGGATGGTTGTCAGCTGCTCTCAGAGGGCGATTGCAGCTAACGACAACTACTCCCTCTTCCTCCTTGCGTTTATTCAGCATAGATTTAATAACAGAGGTTCTAAGTCAAAGTGCTTGTGGATAATTTACGTGGTTAAAGAGTGGTTTTACAAATGATAAAAGGTCTCAGTTGCAGGGCCCAGAATAAACCATTAACAGGTAATTCCCCTCCAGCACAAAATTTACATAAGTAAACAGAGTGGAGGCAAAGGGATGTGGGGTAAACAGACTTAACTGGGGAAGCTTTTATTATTCTAATCTTTACTCTGTGACTTAATACTCGAACGTACTGACTGGCTGCCTTCAGCCTGTTCCGTAAGTTAATAAAACCTTTCGGCCTTCCAAAAGGTGAGACTATATCTTACAACCTTTCCCTAATGTTTCCCTTAATATTTTGCCAGCCACCCCGAGTGAATCCCCATGTTTCCAAGGATGGTTCCTTTCTTTCCAAGGATGATATTGGGGTGGACATTTTTTAAAGATGGGATTGTGTGAGGGGGATGGCAAATGGGAAAATCAACATTTTTTTAAAATACCATCTTGTTTGCAATGCTAATGGTTTTGAATTCAAGACTCCTTGTTTTCCTATGTGCTGCCCCTGGATTGTCTTGAACGGTGGTCTCCACAGAGGGCTGGTAAGGAGGGGCTCCTAAGCATCAGAAGAAAACCCGTAGTACCAAGTAGGTGCCTAGAGAGGTGGGCGAGGGGCAGACGAGGCAATGCTAGAAGAGCTGCAGAGAGGGGCGAGGGAACATGCAAGCAGATATTCCTACGCGAGGGGAGGCCAGGGACCTGGCCATCTTGCAATACCGTCCACTTCTTCTAACTACCAGGAAACTAAGATTTCCAGGGTTTCCTAAAGCAGCAGTAACATGAGGCCAAGTCTGCACCTGAGATTGAGGGAGTGAAAGGCTATCAAAGGAGATGGCAGCTTTTTCACGTGTCTGGGGACAAACTGAGTGTCTGTAGGGCCAGAATCTGCCGCTGCTCCCGTGTGCTGAGAGGGCTCAGCCCTCCGGGCCTGTGTGCAGCAGGGCTATTCACGTGCTATGTTTGGCCAAGAGACTGGTCGCAGGCCATTTCCTCCAAGAACGAGAACTGAAATTGCTGCTTTCTCAGAATCCGGCCTGAACAGAAAGAGAAGTGAAAAGGGGGCTTCTCACAAACATCAGGATTGTTCTCATTTTCCTTAATTATTTTATTGAGGAGTTTTTCCTCTCCAGTCACAGTGCTATTCTTCTAGCCCAAACCACCACTGCAGAGAGCCCCACCCAAAGGCCACACTGGCCCTCTGGACAGCACTGTCATCGCCCCTCTCTAGGAAAAAAAAAAAAAAAAAAAGCCTTTTCTGGGCTGGCCATCAACCCACCACGCTCATATCCATCAATCTTTCCATTAATTCATTTTAAAATGGTGGTAAATCCCTGTATTTACAGGCATTTCTCATCCATGGAATATGGTTGAACCAGTTTAAACAGTTTAACTTGTCCAGGCACAGTGGCTAATGCCTGTAATCCCAGCACTTTAGGAGGGAAGCCGAGGCTGGAGGATCACCTGAGCACAGGAGTTCAAGACCAGCCTGGGCCACATGGCAAAACCCCATCTCTACCAAAAAATAAAACAAAACAAAAATTAGCCTGGCACCATGGTGCATGCCTATAGTCTCAGCTACTCAGGAGGCTGATGTAGGAAGACCATTTGAGCCCAGGAGGCTGAGGTTGCAGTGAGTCATGATTTTGTCACTGCACTCCAACCTGGGTGACAGAGCGAGACCCTGTCTCAAAAAGAAAGAAAGAAAAAGGAAGGAAGAAAAGAAGGAAGGAAGAAAGGGAGGGAGGGAGGGAGGAGGAAGAAGGAAAAGAACAGCTCATGCCCCAGACTGGGAGAGCATCATCTCTAAGCTAATGAGAGTAAAGAATGGTTCCCTCCGCTATGAGGGGCATGGTAGAGACGGGAAGGGTGGACACTCCCACTGGAAAAACTGTGAAATGCTCTGAAACTAGTTGGTTGACCTTAGACAGATCATTTTAGTCTCATTTGCCAAAAGTAGCAATAATAATCTCTCTACTTCCCTCACTGGAGTTTCCAAAAGACAAACGGCATGCTGATTAGAAAAGCATGACGTGCAGTTGTGAGGATTTGCCAGTTAGAGGGTTATGAGTCAGGGCAACTGCCTAGTAATAAAGCCCTTGCCATCTATAACTTCGTTCTTGCTAACAGGGGGCTTTTAACTAATTCTTTATGTATATATGTGTAATATACCAAACTAATACAAGATATTACTAATAGGGAAAATTGTTGGGGCAGACAGTGAGAAGTACAGGGAAACTCTCAGGATATTTCATTCCTATTTTTCTGTAAACCTAAAACTGCTTTTAAAAATATATACATATATATAACTGTACACACACACACACACACACACACACACACACACACAACTGTAGATAGGTGATAGATAGATAGATAGGTAGATAAGATCACCTTGAGTCCTATTTCTGAAATATTTCTTCCCTCTTTAAGATGGAAACGACTTCCATCAAGCTGTGTGGTATAGTCAACAACAAAAAGCAATGAGAATAAAGTAAGATTAAAATCATAGGGTGAATTTCAGCTTGTTCTTCAAAGACTATCGCATCACTTCTGGGGCAGGCCAGGGTGGGGAAGGATGTTCAGGTGATCTTTTCTTGCCCTGCATTTTATGGGGAATCTATATGTGTACCCACATAGGGGTGCAGCAGCCACTATGTGCATACATGAAAATTCTCTTGCACAAACACCAGAAGTGAGCTCACTAGTATCACCACAGGGGTACCATCTGAGTTCTTTCTAGTCCAGATTTTAGGTTCTGAAAAATATATCCATCATGTTTGCAGCTGGCACATATTTGGGACTTTAGGGTATATGATTTTTTTCTCCTAATTCAAGAATAAAGAAACTGAGGTTTAGAAAGATCAAGTGCCTTGTCCAGGCCAGCGAAGACTGTTACTAGTAAGACTGGCGGTGGGGGAGAGAAGAGAGAATGAAAGAAAACAAAGCCTGGTTAGCTGTTAGGTCCTGGAGTTTCTTACATCTGCAGATGGCCCAGCAGCAAACTTCTCTCTCCCTATCGTAGAGTCTCCCTCATCGGTGTCTGGGCTCTTTGTAAAAACACAAGAGCAATGAGAGATGATAAGATGATAAACTTGGCCACACATTTTGTCTGCGAGAGAGAGAGAGAGAGAGAGAGAGAGAGAGAGAGAGAGGAACCACGTCCCTGGGGACAGGAAAATAACAATGTATGTGGGTCCTTCAGAGGGTGACTCGAAGCCCTCAGAGACAGCAAGGGGAAGGAGCTGTTTATAAAACAGCTGTACTTCCTTTTCCCCACCACACCTCTGTGATGCTTTTGTGCAAAACAATATTTTTACCAGAATTAGTAGGAGCACTGAGACCCAGAGAAGCCACTAAACATCTGGGTATGGCTGCATCCCAGGGCAGGCCAACAGCTGCCTGTTACTGGTTCAGGCTGGATGTATACATATCTCCCAGCCACCATCTGTGGTCCGCCATAAAGAGAGTTTTTTTTTCTTTTCTTTTCTTTTTTTTTTTTTTTTTTAAGAAATTAGGTCTCCCTATGTTGCCCAGGCTAGTCTTGAACTCCAGCGCTCAAGTAATCCACCTGCCTCAGTCTCCCAAAGTGCTGGGATTATAGGCGTGAGCCTGGCCAAGAGAGTTTCCTACGTGGAATTTTAGATGGCAGTGAGGAGTGAATCCAAGGGCGCTCTCAAGATTCCACTGCACAAGTAGCAGGCATCTTGCTTGAAACATTCTATGGCTCCCTCTTACTTCTGCCAAATGCCCTACCCTCAGGTTACCTGTGTTTTGACATGAGGGTGAGGCAAGGCTTAGCAGAGTTCCCCGCCCAGGAGGATTTCATTTCTACAGGGACCAGGAAGACATCTGACCCCATTCACTATGTGATTTAGGCAAAGTGACAAGTACTTAACAAGGGGCTCAGGAGAAGGGAAAAGGGTGGTCCTGGTCATGCTGGGACCCTCTCTGTTTTGTTGGGGTAGGTTCAGGGGTACAGAGCTCCTTTCTGGGGACTTTCTCAGGTGAATGAGGCAGAGCTTGATCAGTTACCTGCACATTTGCATTTGGATTGATTCATAT